TCCCACGGCTGAAAGGGCGAGCATGTTTGGTGTGAGAGGGATTCGAACCCGCGACCCTCAGATTGCGAGTCGAGTGCCTTAACCACCTGGCCATCAAAAATGCGTTCCTGCACTATGGAGCTGTGAAGGCACTATAAGTTTGACTGTTAAATCTGTTGACTAGTTTACTTTCCTATAGCGTATCACTTCTCAATTAGACTATTCATAATATTAAAAACCACGCAGGATCAACAGAAAAAAAAATAGTATCAGAATTGAAACCCCAAAACCCGAATGCTTTCGGAAAGTGGATTTTACTTCACGAGGGAGAAACATTTTTCATTTACCTCTGATGAAGGAAAGGCCATTTTCCGAAAGCGCGCGAATTCAAAATTAAGGACAACTATACATAGCTCGTGTTGTTTTGCTCGGAAATTCTAAAAAACAAACAAACGTGGCAGACATGATCAAAGAGGAACGGGCCTAAAACACTTTCGACTTAATCATATCCAGAAAAGATCTCTTACAACATACTGCTGACTAAATTAACATGAAAACTATGCGAAGGTTCTTTACTTGGCAGTGTTTAAGACTTTGTCATCTCATATGTTGGAGTGTCATCTTGGTGTGGAAAGAAATGTAAGATTAAATGGATAGCATCCAACCCACAGGTTGAGACCTAAGCCTTCCTCAAAACAACAATCATCGCATTTGAATATTTAGTTATTATTTTTTCCGAATCATGATATGAGTTGTGTCCTTATATTACGGTCAAGGTTTTACTAAGGCTCAGGGATGTAACTACCGGGAGTATTGGGATGTTCCCCACCTGCTCCAGCTCTCCAACGTTAGAGATATCTCGTCGGACAGAAATACACTAGTTTGGGCACCCTGCCCGACTAATGCGAGATATACAACGTTATACTCAGTAGAGTAAAAAGATTTCAGTGTTAAAACATTATTACGCTCGCTGCAATACAAGTAGTTTAGACTAATGCGAGATATACAACGTTATACTCAGTAGAGTAAAAGGATTTCAGTGTTAAAACATTATTACGCTCGCTTCAATACACGTAGTTTAGACTAATGCGAGATATACAACGTTATACTCAGTAGAGTAAAAAGATTTCAGTGTTAAAACATTATTACGCTCACTGCAATACACGTAGTTTAGACTAATGCGAGATATACAACGTTATACTCAGTAGAGTAAAAAGATTTCAGTGTTAAAACATTATTACGCTCACTGCAATACACGTAGTTTAGACAGGTGTTTTATTATATGAATGATATCAGTAGGTGACTAATCAAATTATATCCTGCCAGGAAACATCAAATGTTTCTCACCTATTGACCAAATTGCGTAATAGACAGCTTTCCTAAGTAAGTATCAGAATATATAATCTATATCTAGAGATAAAACAAATTGAAATTTCATCGTGTTGGTACTTGTCAATTTGTCAGTTGTCTGTTCTACATTTCCATTTAACAACACACAATTACCTACACATGTGAGAGAAGTAGTATCCCGAAGAGCCCTGGTATTAGGGCGAAAGGCTTCGTTGGCAGTGGATATAGCAAATACGGTAGGTTCGATATATCAGTATACACTTTTATTATTATTATTATTATTTTTACACGTATTTTATTAGAATTAAAAATACCCGTCGTGCAGGATACAACC